CATTAATCTCGATATCCACCATTCTAAAGTTTTCAGCTCTGCAGACGTAAAATTTAAACCGTTCACAGCGATCTCTGTTAGTGTCAGAATGTTAATATTTCATTGGTATATTTTTTAGTTTCTAAGAAAGAGTTTAAATCTAAACAAAACACTGTAGATTCTTCTTTAAGAAATGTCATTAAAATATATATTTTACAGATCTACATATCTTTCTATCAATGCACGGGTCTATCTGTCTATCTATCTTTCTGCACCTATCTCACCCAAATATCGCAGAAAATAATTACGTGCGAAAATTTTGCAAAATTGTTAATTAATTATTTTTTTGCAGGTATGTATATCTTCGTGTGATGGAAAGCCTTCAAGTTTTAAAATACGGTTCACACAAGAAACTGGGGTATGGGGGGGGGGGAATAAGTTCTAACGGAGGATTAGCCATATATACGTTAAAAAAGTAAAAAAAAATCATTCACTTATTAACTCACTTACCACTCAATCTCTATTACTTACTCGTTCAGTTAAATTTGATTTATTACTGATTTTTTTAATCTTTATTTCTTTATTTCAACTTTCCTTTCTATCTATCTTACTATGAATCTACATTTATTATTCACTTGTTTTTTCTCTATTTTCCTATCTACTTTATCTATCTTTTCTTCTATCTATCTTTCCCTCTTGTCTATCTTTCCTTCTAACTATCTATCTATTGATTTTTGGACGTGTCCGGTTCGTTTCTATTTCTTAAGACTTTGAATTAATTCAAATCATTTTACGTGTTCTTTTAACATTTGTCTCCCTTCATCCCTTCTCATGAACTCTTTTCAAACCAGGGGTGTATATTTTCTAGAAAAATTTTGAATATCTTTTTCCCCACAAGTTATATAATATGTTTGCTTTTAAAAATATCTTAATTGGGGAAAATAATCTAACAGAATGAAAAACTTTGAATTTTCCCAAATCATTAAAAAATCACATTCCCCCCCTGACCGGAGGGGTGTAGTTCTGGAAAATATTTACCCCTGTTTCAACCGTTCAATGATAAACACTTTTTCCCGAACTTTGAAAATCAAAACCTTTTAAAAATTCAAAAATCTAAAGAAATAATTCCATCTTTGGCTTTTGTCTGTTTTATGGTTTGTTTAAATTTGATAGAAGACCGTTTTGGTCGAGATTAAAAATGTTGCCTCCAAAGATAAAAATTTAAGAAAATCTTCAAAATCCACCAATTAAAAAAAGAAAATCGACGAAAATTTTAAAAAAATAAATTAACTACCTTGTAAAATTCACAACAAACTTTTTTTAAAGTATTAAATTGAAATTTTTTAAGTAAGCAAAAGAAGGTCAAGAATTTTAAAATAGAAAGAAAATTATGAGATCTTATAAAAGTTTATTTTAAACAGATCTGTGATGTACTATGGGGTGGGGCTGCTTAAAGTTTTATATTTAAATAAAAAAGATAAACTGTGTGTTTTAACCCCTGTAAAACCGACGAGACTGCCGAATTCAAATCTAACGATATCATAAAAGTTTTATTGTTAAA